ATCACGTAAGTATACATACATATTCATACGTCATAAAAACTAAATATAATTTATGGAGTGCGCATGCGTTTAAGAATTAGATCATGATATTAAATAGGATTGCATTATGATACAAAACAATGACGAACACAATGTAGGCGATTATGCAAAACGCTAAATAAAATATATTCTATCCATAAATAGGGTACGTGGATGGGCTATAATGCAACAGGAGAGTCTATAAAAACGACCAAAAGAAATGAAATAACCTCCATCCGGTCGTCTACAAGTCAACTACATAGAAAGTTCTCGTCCCGTGACACAGGAGTGAACAAAAAGTTTGTATTTTCTCACGTATGTAAGTAAATACATATCTTAGTACATTGCCTAAAAGACCTGGTGTCTAATACAAATATCTACCAAAAAACTTACAAAATACCCGTGGGCATCTTGGTTGGTGACAGGTATATATGTCGTGAGTGGGAACGGAATCATAAGAGTTCGGAATCCACTTAGATTAGAATGGAATAATTATACTAAAAATCCCAACCCTAACCTTAAAATTTCCGAATCAACTTAAATTCTATTCCCACTTACGACATATATATAATGCAAACATTAGGTAAACCTGGGTTTTTTGTATGGGGATATTGCATTTTAGGCACTACGGTAATAATATCTTACCGTATCGTCTCGAAATAACGTCCTTGGACGTTATTTCGAGATACGCAATTTTAAAGAGAGCTAAGAATTAATTTAACTTGATGCGAATAATAATTTTTGCTTTTTGAAATCTCTCTTAAATTGTGCATCTCGAAGATAATACGATAGAGTATTTTTGATTTCTAACTAATTTCGATGTCACACGGAAATCACGGGATCGAGTATTTTCTGACAGGACTAGTCATATTTGAATATAAACATTTTATTAAAGCAAAACGTACCGTCATCTGGTGGGCTTGATGGTGGACGTTCGAAAAATTCTCCTTGGTAATTATTTGATGTTTGAACTAGGTTGGAAAAGGCAAAAAAAAAAAAAAAGGAGCTTCTTGAGTCACATGAGAGATAATAAATCAAAAAAGCTCGCATAGAGCAAAGCTAATTATACCTAGAAAATTTAGCATCCAAGGAGCGAGAGCAATCTGAAATAATGGTTGTCTTTGTTGACCTACAATCATAATGAACTGTCAGACCACTCTTACAAAAAAAAGTGAGAGGTAAGTAAAGCATAATTAAGAAATGAATTATGAACCGTAAATAACAGCCAAAAAGGGATAATGATTGCCCTCGTGAAGAACGGAATTTTCTACACGAGAAGTTCGTCTTAACGTTAAAATAATCTAAGTTTGTGAAATTAGAGTAATTTTAAAGTGTATCTATAGTATCTTACCCGTGTCGAGAAAACTGCATTTGATATTACGGTCATTACATCGTTTGCATGAATTCTGCTCGCACACTCCACCTTCACATTTTTTTTTAAGACTTCGACATAATGAGCATGCTTTAACCGCTCTTTTTCTTACACCATCCTAATCATTAAAAGATGAGTACAATAATAAGTCGGCGATTCATTTTATAACGCGTAATAGTATCATTTATCATACCATTTCTTGACAACAAGTTAAGGTGATAATATGTTTTGATGTAGTTTGTCTTGAAATGAGAAGTACAAAGTTGAAGGAAGTTAAGTTTTGTTGAACCCGTTTGTCCGTTTAAATAACGGTTAATTTTGTTAAAAGTTCCTAAATGAAATCAAAAAATGCTTTGTCTGTTAGTTACATCCGCCAGTCGGGATGCAAAGACGGTAAAATAACCGTTGTATAATAATCAAATATCCATGTAATTTTTGTCACGTAAATTTAAATCGGTAACGTCGGTAAATTCCTGGGAGTTTTTTTCGGTTAACTAATATTGGTTAAATTAAATCTCTGTTGAAATTATCCTAAAGTCCGTCATAGATTAAAATAAGTTCGGAGTCTAAATCGCGTAACCGTGAAACATTTGGTCACTTCAAAGATTGGGTTGACCCATATGACTTGACTTATAGTAAAAATTTTTACAATTCCCATTTACGAAAATATTGAAACGCTTTCTTATTTTAACCACAAAGTGAAATAAACTTTTATTATTTTAAATACGGAACGATATCACTATTTGTAAATTTAGAGTATGGATGTATAAACATCTTCTATTCTTTTTTTATTACACGAAACACGAAATGTGGCAACGATCAAATCTAGGATGATAAATGTGGCTCAACCATATGACCGGCGGATAAATCGGATAAATAATGATGGTGTTATTACTCGTGACCTGTCGATATATATAGATCTAGTCAAACCTCCTTTAGCGTTAGTATAAATGTAAACCCTTTATAGATGCTATTTAGATGCACACGATGAATAGTTCTGATAACGAATGACAAAGCAGCATAGTTATGGTGCAAAAATTTGGCGGTACCGTGATTACTACCCAATCTAATTGTAAGATCAATGTGTAACATACAAATCCAAAGTAATAATAATAATAATAATAATAATAATAAAATAGAAACTAAATTTTAGTCGTTAAAGTTTTCAGCACAAAATGTAGACGCATGATTTTTATTTAATATTAATATTTAAATACAATTTTAGGGTAGCATCGGTCACGGGACATTCAATTTTTTGTGCCATTACTATAGCACTTCTAATGACACAAAATTTCATTTAATCGCACATCTTTTTAAACGTATATTTATAGTCTTCCAAAAGAGATACATTTATGTAAGTCTGATTATATTTTCTTCATAAAGTGTCGAAATTAATTTTATCATGTCAAAAACTTTATAGTAGCCATGTCCTAACAAAGACAGAATGGAATAATCGTTAGAAAGTTCAATAAACATCGACCGCATCTGGCAGTATCCTTCATTAAGTTATGTGTTACAGATAGGTTTCGCCACAGCTTATTTATTTCTGGTTTGAATTTTGTTGCTTTGGTATAAATTCACCCCTTCCCTAGCAAGATTTGAATTCAAATTAAACCCGAATATAAACAATAAGTACAAAAAACAGGAAAAGATGAAATAGTTTTCGAAATATTAATGTACAAGTCACGAGGAAATTATGCTGGAGGTTTACGAAATTATTTATTTTTATATGCATCACACACTACGTATTGTGATTTAACTTTTTACGTATAAGTCAATTACCTTGCCCATCTCTAATACAGATCATATAATCATCACATGTTTTCATTATGTAATAACTAACCTTACGTCGATATTTTTTGCAAAAAAATAAATCGCATGGTAAGGTTCTATTTTTAAAGATCTGCACATACCCGTGATCATGGTTTAGCCATAATAATCGTAAACAATACATTTTTTAAACCTTTAAATTCTGTATTTAAGACTTGGCTATTCTTTCTTAGAATGGACAAAGTTTCACAACACCTTGTATGAAAAATAATCCCAAGCTCCGGTAGATTTGTAAAACAGAATTTATTTATTCATAGTTGTGAGCGCTTATTTTAAAGAACACAAAAGAACCTCCTACCAAAGTTTTTGAAGCACTATCGAAAATATACAACTATCCTGACACCGAATTCTAAAGATTGACAACAGCTAGACGATTTTTGGGTGGGGCATGTTTTGGAGAGAAGCAAAAAAATTCTTTGATGAGAAATCATTTTTATCTTTAAAAGAAAAGGTATGATTTTTATTTTATAAAGAAAGCAACTTCTGGTTGAGTTCTTTCTAATTAGATAACTGATTATGATTTTTCATTTGCACAAATAAAAAATTTGTATACAACAGATAAATTCCGAAAGATCTGATAATAGGCTTAAAACATATTGGAGAAATATCATTGAAAAGAAGGAAGCAAAAAATATAACTCAAAAACAGGAAAGACTAAGTAAGTAATTCATGAATATATAGTTATATAAGAAATCAGTACACCGAAATGCATGTACTGTACTACCTTAGAATTTGGCACTGAAAAAAACCGAAGCAAAAAAACAAAAAAGAATTTAAACCCGTAGTTATATGTAATTTTAAGGAAAATTATACGAAAAGCGTGTAAAATACATTACTACACGTAAAAGTATATGTGACAACATATAAAAAATACGTGAAAACGCGTAAAACTGTTGTCACTACGTGTAATGCTGCATGGAATCCATTCCTTTTCCTATGTTTTAGGTGTACTGTTCAGTGTCTTGTATATATTTACGTGCAATTTAATGTTGTACTGTACTTAAAATTCTGTGCATCTGTGCAGCGATTTCTTATAGTGCAGTTAATGGTCATATAATCAACTAAGCTGATCTATTTATTATTTTAAAATCTTAAGGAAAGAAATAAAGATAAGGAAAACGTGCTGTCAAAAAAACAAAAATTGATACCTCTGTGATTCTGTCTGGAAGTGGTAATTTAATCAAGTTTTAAACCATATAGCATTTTTTAGGACCCGAATAATGTATATTTGAGCATCAAAAATAGGGTCATATTAGTAGTTTTTAAAATATAACCTCATATATATTATTCAGGCCCTATTTTTTTTTTATCAACATTAGAGCCTAATAATATTGGCTAAAAGCGTTTTATAGTTAGCTTTTTATTTATTTATTTATTTATTTATAATTTTTATTTAAGAACCAACACCCAATCTGAGCTCATCGAAACAAGTGAGCATTGATAACTTCCTCAACTAACAAAATATCAACGGACTATGCCTGTATATAGAAAGGAAGCAGCCAGATTGGGTCAAGAACAAAGGTGTCAACTTCCTGGACCTAGACATTAATAGTATGTTTTTATATCCTTTTTAATACTTATTCTTATTTTTAAATAATATTACTACATTAGATAATAACTATAGTCATAAACACGAAGATGTGGTCAAATATAGAAACTACTTTTGCAAAAGATGGATGAATTACGATCCCGAATGACCACTTACGAAGGTGAAAATTTATCTTGCCAAGACTTCCTCAACTGGGAGGTAATGGAGTGGAGGGCAAATAAGATAAAGACGATGTCAATCAATGATATATGTAAGCTGAAGTGTGGTAATGCCGAACAATTTGATAAGGGCAAGACTATTGAAGACATTTTTAACGATGCCCGAAAACAAGTAATTAATTATGTCAATGATTTAAAAAATGATTACCACACTTCGGCTTTTGTTATCATGACTGTAGGATACTTTGGGAGAAAGTAGTTTAATAAATACAGTTATTATAAAGATAACCTGATATGAGTAACATTATGTAGCTTTGATTTCGCTTCGCTTTACCAACAGCTTATTTGGCTGACATCGCTCCAAGTGACAATTTACTAAACTAAATACCTAAATGTTAACACTAACCCTATGTAATATCAATCAAATGAGCTGTAGATGAAACGATTGTCAGTGAAGTGAGTCATATAAAGAATAAAATAGTTGTACTTTTTTAAAAATTAATTACGTACTAAAACTGTCAAACTTTATATTATTCGATATTTTAAATACAATTTAGATATTTATTAATTGAAAATAAAATGTATTAAAGTATAAACTTGAACTTTATCAGTCGACTGCACAATAACAATTTGTGTGCTTCACTCTTACAAACTTCGGTTTTTGTTCAAAAAAAGTTGTTCCGTCCTTAGCATGTCATTTAAATTGAAATGTTTTTTCTCATGCGTCACACAAATAATATCTTTACCAATTTTCAGTTATTCGAGTTTAATACGTATGCGCATGTATGACGAACATAAATGGTCGCTTGTGAAATTCTAATCAAGAAATTAAGGTTGCTTTTATGGAAAGACATGCATATTATTAGCATGTTGTTAAATAATTTCTGCCATAAATTGAAATACTGTAATCTTTTTTTATGTTGTAACCATGAATCAAACAGGCGCAGAATTATACGAACTCGGAGAAAAATACGAATATGGCTTGGCGGCGTCAACAAGGACAATAAAATGGCATTCGAATATTATCAAAAATCAGCAATGATGAGGCATGCTGATGGAACATATAGTGTTGGATATTGTTATCGGAATTGGAGATGAAAAGGATAAACATAAGGCATTCGAATATTATCAAAATCAGCAGAGATGGGTTTTACTAGTGGAATATATCATGTTGGACGTTGTTATGAAAAAGGTATTGGAGTTGAAAGGAATGAACATACTGCATTCGAATATTGTATAAAATTAGCAAAAATGGGGAACATATAACGTTGGGTATTGTTATGAGAAAGGAATTGGAGTTGAGAAGGACGAACGTAAAGCATTAGAATATTTTATAAAATCTGCGCTAGTAGGTAATTTTGATGGAATGAATAAAATTAAAAATAAATATCAAATAGCATGGATTCCTTATAATTAATTCAAAAATATTAATGAGATAGGTATAGTGTTGGCAGACGAAACTTAGAGGTTTCGCCACAGACGAAAGGCGAAACCTAGTTTCGACTTTCGCCAAAAAAAAATTAAAATGGCGAAATGGCGAAAGGTGGCGAAACTGGCGAAACTGTCGAAACTCTGCGAAACTGTGGCGAAACTAAAAAGGTAAAATTAAAAAAAATGAGAATAAAAAGATAAATAAAGATAAGGGAAATTCTATTTTGACCCGGGTCAAAATGACCCCCTCCTAGAATTTAGGGTTAGTGCGGGCCAGAATTATGTTAATGCCGGCCGGGTTTAATATTAAAAAAAACCCTGGCCGGCATCAACATAAAAAATAGAATTTCCCTAAAGATAATTAAAATTTTTTTATATTAAATATTTTTATTTCTATATATATATATATAATTGTATATATTCATAGAATTTTACTAACTACGTAGAAATCTAGAAATCGAAATTTTATACGTAATCTAATGTCATAATACAAACCTATAATTGGCTAAAAAGTATATCAGTTAATTTTTATATTCAGTTCTAATATTATTAAAATTCTAATCGTATGTTTTTTTTTTTAACTTTAAGAGAAAATTAGCCTGATCAATTTTGATATTTAGGATCATCTACTATTCTGTATGAACAGTACATTAGTGAGATAGTGTACTTTTGCTATAAGTGAAAATATTTAATAAAACAAAAAAATTCAATTCTTCTAACTATAAGACCTATTGTAGAAAATTAGTATATGTTAGAGACTTTTTATAATTTATTTTTAAGCGACAATTCGCAAATAAGATAACAGTAGGTTTTAAAGAAATTTAATATCGTTAAGTGGTTAAAATAATTTGAAAAGCATGAAGATTCATAGTTTGTCATTAATAGTAATCGAATGTTTACAATTTCAAAATTTTCATGGTTAGTAAAAGAGAAAGCAAAAAAAAGGATTTATAATATCATTCAGTTAAAGTTTCAAAGAAGTATAAATAGTGTAAAAATATTTTGTCAGTCATTATTATTCGATTATTATTAATTTTTTGATTCAAAAAAAAGCATGAGATTCTCGCTATTATTCAACTATACAAACAACCAATTATCGTGTAAATTTGAAGATTTCCGTGCGATGGGTCGGTCTTCTGCTAATTACTGTAATTTGAAAAGCGCGATAATAATTTCAAAAAATAAATTTATTATATAAATTTTTTAAATAATTAAAATTTCTCTCAAGAAATGAATTTGCAGGCAAATTGTTAGTTATGGATATTAGCTAACTAAGGTTTAATTATGTAAATATACATCTAACATATTATTTATCAGAATTGAATAATTATAACTATTAGAATCTAAAGAATTAAAAAGTAATTAAAACTTTTAATTAATTAATTAATGATATAGTAGTTTTAATTATTTACTATAAAATTCTTCAGATAGAGAATTAAAATTAAGTAATTTTATCTTAAAGCAAATTGGCAGTTCGGTTGATAATGCTGGAATAATTGCATCTGCAGACTGGAATGCAGCACTTCTATTTACTATATAATACCAATTAAATAGTTCATCATAGATATAAGATGCAGTTGATCTGTTAGAAGAATTAGCATCTATATATCGATTTTCCAAGTTGATAAAAACACTTAGGAGTGCTTTTAACAACTTCAGAACGTAATCCATTATATATTTGAATAACCGACTTTTCATCATATTCGACATCATAGCGAAGTGGTCTTCCTGTAGACATTTCAGTTATAATAATACCAAAACTATAAATGTCTGCTGCAATTGAATATGGTTTTCTATTCACACTTCCGGAGCAACGTAAGGTAAAACGCCGTAAATACAATTTGTTAAATCAGATTCATCATTCTTTCTAGATCTGCAATATAAGATATTAACATATTGATTTGCAATATGAACATATTCTGCCTTGTGAACTTTTTTTTATTTGCATATTAAAATACCATCAAATATTCATTATTAGTTATGTTTGAGTCAGCCATACACCTCAAGATTATTAACCTTGTTAAATAATTGTTAATAATTTATTTATATTATATATTAATCATAAATACCGTAAACTGCCGTATACAAGATCCCCCAGATATCAGACCCACCCCCATTTTTTACTAATTATTTTCTTTTTTACTGATTAATTTTTTTGGTGGAATGTAAGAGACCCGGGTCCTTTATATGGCAGTTTACGGTACTTCATTTTAACTTACTTCTCTTAAAAAATTCTTTTGTGAACCAGGTAAAGTTTTAAGTGCAACCACGCATGATTATGTACGTGATTGTTTATATTTATAATAAATTCACCTAAAACTATTCTTTTACTATTCTTTTACTATCTAACCATGTTGTTGAAAATATTAATCCAATCCCCCTTCATCAATCTTTGAAAATTGTTTAATTTATTAAAAGGAATCCATTCGATTACATCTTCGTATCTTGTAGCTTTAAATTAAAATTCTTTAATGCAATTATCGGCATCCTTATTCCCCTGTGTTGTCTTCTGAGGGTCACATGTTTGACACCAAGCTGAAGATGCGTTATGTCGGTTATAATCTGCACATTTACCATTTCCTTTATCTTTCTTAAAACCGAATTCATCAAATATTAACATATATCCATTTGTTGCAGTGTTTTGAATAAGTTCATATACCTTAAAGTCGCTATTCTCTACAAACTTATTAAATATTTATATATAAATTAAAATAAAGTTCTATTATGCAATAATAATAACTTACCGTATTTTCGCGAAATAACGCCCACCTGCGCGTTATTTTGAATATATGTGCGTTATTTCGAGTACGCGCATGGGCGTTATTTTGAAACAAATATAAAATTTTTAAGTATTTTCTTATATAAAACAAAATTGCTTCGAAACTAAGTTTACTTAGTATCAAACCTAGTTTCGAAGCATTTTTTAATATGACGATAAATAAATACTTCTTACTATGGGGTGTGCGTTATTTCGGGACGCGCATGGGCGTTATTTCGAAGCTATATATGTTATTTTTAAGGGTTACAATTTTCGAAATAACGCCCATGCCCGTTATTTCGCGAAAATACGGTACTAAAAAGTTTTTAACTTTGCAATTTGCACATTTTCCATTCATTTCAAATCTCATAAAACCAATTCATCAAATACTAAAATATGTTTATTTTTGGTTGTGTCTTGAGTTAGCCCATATAATTTAAGTTTACTATACTTTAATCGCATGAAATCTTTAAACTTATAAAATAAACGTGAATACGTATATGTTCTTAAATGAGATAAAATCGTACGCAATAAATA